GTTTTTGATTTTCATCCTTGATGCATCTAACTTGAGTGAGGTCTTTACTTTTCTTATCCCTTATCCTTGCAAGTTTATAAATACCTCTTTCACCATCCTTGCTCCCAAGACTTTTATACAACTCGTCGAAAACCTTGCCTCTCGCTTCTCGCACTGCTTTCTTTGCATTTTTTCTCGCCAATCTAAACTTTTCCAGGTTCTCTTCATTGGGACTTTTATGCAAAGATCTAAAGCACTCCTTCTTATGTTTAATTGCCTCTTGCACCTCTCCATTCCACCACCATGTTTCCTTTGTATGAAATCCATTTCCTTTGCTTTCTCCCAACACCCTCCTTCCCAAATTTTGAATACACTTAGCCATCTCATTCCATATTGCATTTACTCCTCCATCAAACTAAAAATGAACTAAAAATGAATAAGAAACTACTACGTAAGTTCTTGAAATATAGGTATATCTGTTTCTCATAAGAATTCTGCATACTAAGATGCTAAGATGCTCACAAGGGCTTACCTCAAATCCTACTTGAGCCCTCTCCCCTGCATCTAGCTTCACACTTTGAAAACCCACCAACTGTTTCATTGGATTTCCATTTCTCTGTTTACCTTGCTTCATAAACAGCAATACTGGATGCTCAGTATGTGACAGGATTCGAGAACAGCTAAGCTTGGACAATGACATAGAACCCTGTTTTTATTGACTTTCTTGCATGCTTATCTACTATTTTATTTTATTTTATTTTTGAGCCTCAGCCTCTGTATAACAACAAACGTATTCAATTTGGTATTAAGACTTTGAAGCTTGATCTTCACCTTTCTTGTGCAGATTAATCTGCTTTACTTCATGTCTTATTATGAACTGTCCTTAGTAAATTAGCTGTTTATGTCTTTGAAAATATTCCCCAATATGATAGCGGAGGGAGTCATTGTCAACAAATGGGTTTTATTTATAGTGGATTATGGACAAAACTTCATTTGTTTGGTCGGTACTTTGCTTCTTAATGCATTATTATTAAAACTATTTGAGGGATCATTGCTTGTGTTATGCGTGTTCACACCATTATGATGATTCTTCAATTCGGGCGTGCGTTCACACCATTACATATTTTTTTGGTGTAGGGTAGTTGGTCTTAGTAAAGAGGTTCTTATACAAACGATAGGATGGTAGTAATAATATAACTGGTTGTTAGTGGATGCCACTAAGGTATAGTTAGGTATAAAATTAGGGGGGATGAATGTGCTTCAGAGAAGACCCTTAAATGGATTGAAAAGCAAAAAGGAAAAAAGAAAGTTGAAATTGCAGTGTGTGAATTTAAAATGGATTGTGAATTTAAAAAAAAAGACCCTTTAATACATTTGGTATAAGAAACTAGATTTATTGTTCTAAGGTATAGTCGTGGGCTCGTGGCTCACTCCTCTCAACGTTACTGTCTCTTGCTTGTTATCAATGGGCTTCATTGTTCTACTTTAATTGCTCCAAACTATCGTGCTATGGCTTTCTCAAGTAACCCTCAAATGGATCATTCCTTCTTTTAGGTATAAGAAATGAGAAGAGTGGATCCATATATCCTGTTCATAGTCCTTACTTTTTCATTGACGAAGATGTGCTTCCCATTGGGGCTGCAATACATGCGGCATTTACTATTTCATTCCATTCATATTCAACAAATTCTTATTTTTGGTGATACATATATATCTACCAGTTATATCTGAAAATTTAGTGATACACATAACGAAGATGTGCTTGGTTATGTAGGGATTGATTGTATAATTTAGTAGTTTTGTTTCAATTGGTTATGAGTTTTAGATGAAGATGATTCTAATACTAGTGATCATGAAACAACAACATCACAAGCCAATGTGTATCAAGAAGTTCAAATTGAAGATTAGAGAGGTATTTCTATTGGTAGCTAGTTGAAATTTATAGTTTAGATCCATTGATTCTGTGTAGGTTAAGCTTAATTGATTTAATTGTGATGATATTTAGTATTTACATTGATTTTGTGCAGGATTGATCCTGCGAAGTTGAGACCACTGCTGCTGCTGTATACTTGGCCTCCATTCTTGAGTATCTGATAGCTGAATTTCTTGAACTTTTTGACAGCAATGTTGGGAATTTACATTGATAGCAATGCCTCCATTCTTGAATATTTACATTGACAGCCATGCTGGAAATGCATGTAATTAGAATATTGTCACCTTGATTCAGTTTGTAGGAAAGTATGCTAACTTTTTTCACTTAATGCTTGGTATTCCGAAGATTTAGGCATTTAATTTCTTTGTTACAATGTTGCTCATTATGAGAAAATGTTGCTCATTACGGTTGTAAATACATCCTGTAAGCTAGTCATTGTTTCTTGTCCAACCTCTGTAAATACAATCTGGAACACTACCAGGACATATGAGTTTGTAATATATTTGGGTATGTAAATTAGTGATATTTATGTTTAAATTTGTGGAAACCTTAGAATGTATTATAACAAAGAATATATTAAATATGGATTTTTTTAAACAAAAAATTACATACTAAATTTTTGAAAGGCCCATGGGCTAGCCCTAACCCATAGGGCTTTTGGCCCATGTGGGCCTATATCATTGTGGGCTTTTTGGCCCTACGGGCTTTTTGGCCCTAATTCACATGGGCTAGGGCTAAATGGGCCGGGCTGGCCCATTTTGACAGCTCTAGCTGATGGATCCCATAAATTAGTTATTGGTTCTGGTAACATTCAGATTCAACCTTTGCTCCAGTTGCAAAGATGAATACGGTGAGTCTTGTTATCCCTTGTTGTCCATTACAATTGGGATATAAATCAATTTGATGTGAAGAATGCTTTCCTTAATGGTGAGTTAGAAGAAGAAGTCTACATGGAAATCCCGCCTGATTTTGATTCTGTGGACGGAGAAAATAAAGTTTATAGATTAAGAAAAGCCTTGTATGGATTGAAGCAGTCACCTCGTGCCTGGTTTGGGAGGTTTACTAAGGTTATGATGACCTTAGGATACAAACAGAGTCAAGGAGATCACACTCTTTTCTTTAAGCACTCCCAAGATGGAAAGCTCACTATGCTCCTTGTATATGTTGATGATATTATTATAACAGGTGATCATTTTGTGGAGAGACATATCCTGCAAACACCACTAGCCTCTGAGTTTGAAGTTAAAGACCTTGGGAAACTGAGATATTTTCTAGGGATAGAGGTAGCTCATTCAAACAAAGGAATTTTGATCAGTCAGAGGAAATATGTTCTTGATCTTCTCAAAGAAGCAGGAAAGCTTGGGTGTAAACTCTCGAATACTCCTATTGAGCAGAATCACAAGATAGGTTATGAAGAGGAGAGTCCTCCAGTTGATAAAGGATAATATCAACGGCTAGTTGGGAAATTGATATATCTGGCTCATACTAGACCAGACCTAGCTTATGTTGTTAGTGTTGTCAGTCAGTTTATGCACGATCCAAAGGAGAAACACATGCAGGCAGTGGAGATTCTTCATTATCTTAAAGCAACTCCTGGTAAAGGACTATTATTCCGGCGTGATGGCGATCTCTCTTTAGAAGTTTACACTGATGCTGATTATGCTTGGATCTGTGACTGACCGTCGTTCTACCAATGGTTATTGTATGTTTCTTTGTGGTAACTTGGTGACGTGAAGAAGTAAGAAACAAGATGTAGTTGCCAGATCAAGTGCAGAGGCTGAATTTCGAGCTATGGCTCAAGGCATTTGTGAGTTATTGTGGCTGAAAATTGTACTTGATGATCTCAAAATAAAATGTGAGGGACCTATTAAGCTGCTATGCGATAACAAGTCCGCTATTTGTATAGCTCATAATCCAGTTCAAAATGATCGGACTAAACATATTGAGGTCGACCGCCATTTCATCAAAGAGAAACTTGATAGCGGGTTGATTACCACTCCATACATTCCCGCTAGGCGTCAATTAGCTGATGTATTAACAAAGGGACTTCCTTCAGACAGATTTCAAGAGCTTCTAGCAAGCTGGGAATGATAAATATCTATTTCTCAGCTTGAGGGGGAGTGTTGTAAATAATAATATTTATTTATTTATTTGTTGTATTGGGCTTAGCCCATTAGATCATGTAATCTCTTTAAATAGAGAACCCTTTGTACAGCTTACATGCAATTCAATAATATATTTCATTACCCTTTTTTAAGTGTTATGGTTGTCTCCTTGCCCCATATGCATGCATTGCAGACTGATTTGCTCTTTTGAACTAATGAATTTTCTTTATTGTTGTAAAGAACCTTGGGATACACTACCCCAAAAGCTAGCTCAAACGGTGGGAATGCCCAAGACCTTATAAACTCCACATTAGTTGCACATACAATCAATGTGGGACTATATATCTCAACACGCCCCCTCACACGAGAGTCCACTGGGCTTGAAGAGTGGACAATGCAACAGGCCCAGCCTACCTATGCTAAGAAACGCCACAAGAGAAAGTGGGAGGCGGTGAAGCTCTGATACCATGTAAAGAACCTTGGGATACACCACCCCAAAAGCTAGCTCAAAGGGTGAGAGTGCCCAAGACCTTATAAACTCCACATTAGTTGCACATACAACCAATGTGGGATTATATATCTCAACAATTGTGTTCTTCTTTTGTTTGTTCTATCTTCCTCGTTTTAGGAGGATTTCAAATCGTTCTGCACTGTATGCTTTTTCACTACGAATTAATTCCTCTACCTCAATTTTGAGGGTGGAATTTGTTCTGCGTTATGTACTGTTTTGTATCAGACTTCCAATCCATGTTGCTCGTGCTAAGTGGGCAAAGCCTTTCATAAGAAGTCCGAACAATATGCATGCTCAATCTACATCATTGATCTATTACCTAACATGTTTCATTACTTTCATATGGGGTATTGAAAGTAGTGATTCTAAACCCTTCAACAGTTTTAAAATGCAATTTAGATACTAACCAACAACAACAACGTAATTTGTTTCCATTCCATCTTCAATTGGTAATCAGTAGAGAAATCAATACCTGGTAAAACATCAGATTTTAGTGCACGTCTAATCAGCAAAGGTGGTTGGGGGTATAAACGAAGAGCCTCCACAACAATTAGTCTAATGTACCTGAAAGCATACAACATATTTTAAGAAACTGTTTTACTGTAGTAGCTAAGTTGGTCTAGTAGACTCAACGTAATAGCCAACCCCAACACTCATGACAAACCTCACGATGCAAGAAAAGCTGCCAGATTATAAAGTGTAAAGAACCAATTCAACCCAAAAGCTTAAGCTATTGGGTGAGGTTACATTAATGATTTTATATATCTCAACATAAAGCTCACATCATGAAAATATTAATTGAAACCAATCACATATAAGGTTTGTCTTTCACGTAGAACTGTCATATTTTGCTCCTTTTTCCGTAGAAAATAAAATAATTGCTAATGCGTCATAAATTTATTTAATCTTTTTGGATTGAATAATGGCCATCAAACAGGTACTAGTGAATAAAAAAATAATATGAAACAGGAACCTACTGCAATTTTTTAAGTGATTCTAAAGTTGGCCTCCCCATACCCAGGACCATATCTACCTCTGCTTGAGCCTTCTTCATTTTGGCAGGATTCTGCAATAAGGAAACTGGTAAGCATTAAGATGGTATTGCGAAGAAAGTCTGAAAAGAAGCCCCGGCAACCAACAAACCAAATCTGTCTATCATGCACAGAAAACAATATACAACATGTACTTCTGACATTAACATACTTGAGCTAGCAGGAACACTGCCCAAGTAAGAACGGCAGCCGTTGTCTCATGACCAGCAATAAGCATTGTCATTAAATCATCCCTCAACTGTCAAAAGAGAGAGAAAGAAGTAAACAAAGCCTAATTTGAAAAGCATAGCCTAGAGAAACAGTTCAGCAGCCTATCAAAAAGCAAACAAATTTTTAGCCAGGAAGGTTCTTTTGGAAGCATAATATATCAGGAAGAGATATACCTGACGATCATCAACATCAGCTCCCCGCATATCAACTAGGAAACGCAGAAGACTTGCATCCTGTAAGCTTTTATTTTATTATACATTGTGGTATTTACAGAACTCCCAATTTTCAGGGAATTATCGTGCGAATTTAACATTAACTATTGGCATTAACTCTAAGATAAAACACACCTTCAAATTTAAGTAATCCCTTTGCTGCAGTTTCTCAACATCTGTTTCCTGCAAACAGAATGTAATCAAGACCATGTCATGTCCAGTCAGCACAACGTAACAGTCAAAACAGAAACCAATTCCTCCAATCAACTATTATCGTCAATCATGAAATCAAAATATTATCTCACCTGTCTGCTATCTTTTGCATTTCTGATAAGTCCATCGAGACAAGTATTAATGATCTTAAGGTCATCTTGAAACTTCCTTTGCCTTGGGACTATCCATCTTGCCAATGGAATTTTCCAGTACGGAATGTAGAAAGTGGATCTATGTTCAGCTTCAAAAAGAGTGCCATACACTGCCTATAACAGATTTAAAAGTAGAGTGTCCATGAGCTCTCCTAGCCAATGGTAACAAACAAAAAATTGATGGTCTTAAAAAGCATATTCTCAATACGGCCTAAAATTTTGATTTGCATCTTCTGACAGACTATCATTAAATAAACAAGCAGTTTATTACTGACAATGTGATAAAGCTTTGGAGAATTCAGTGTTATCACTTGTATTAATGCTGACAAGTCTTCTTTTTACACACACAGTTGTTTCTAGAAATTATCTCTCAACACTTAACGAACAAAAGATTGAGCTTTTGAAGAACATATTAATATGAAAGTATACTAAACAACTAGCTAGACACTTTTAAGGTGGCAAAATATAAGAAAGAAAAGTAGCATGTTTACTTGCATTAAACCTTAATAACAGGTGATTCTTTGGTGACAGAACCAAAATCATAGTTGAACACACTGAGCCCAATAATATCAAGAGCCAAACTAGAAAACTCTGCTTCAAGATCCAATTCAATTGCCTTCTGTCCATTATAGCCCTCTCCTTCAAGAATCTTATTGAACTTTGATATCGTTCTTTCTGAACAAGTGGTGAATACTTTGACCATAGCTTCCAAGTATGCAGTATGGAAACCCGGAGCAATGACTGCAAAGTTTATAATTACCAAGTTAAACAAAATCATAGGTTGTAACAGATTACTGGTGTTCATCCAGTTCATGGTGATTTATAAGTTCTTTAGACTCGTAGGTTGTAACAGATTACTGGTGTTCATCCAATTCATTACTGAAGTCCACAGGAATTGCAAAGATTAGCTCCATTAATTGATTTGAGAATGATATTTGACAGCATATGATGAGGACATTTAGGCATTAGAAGTCTGACCGTTTGAGGTTCTTGGGCAGCTCTTATGGGAAAACACTTTGAGATATTGTAACAACAGATATTTTCAAGTAGACAGCAGTAACTTTAAATATAGATTGGATTCTAATCGGGAAATATCTTTAGCATTTCCAAGAGTTGACAGTATATGTTGAGATATACAGTCCCACATTGGTTGTATGTGCAACTAATGTGGAGTTTATAAGGCCTTGGACACTCCCACCCTTTGAGCTAGCTTTTGGGGTGGTGTATCCCAAGGTTCTTTACATGGTATCAGAGCCTCGTCGTCCCCCACTTTCTCTTGAGGAGTTTCTTAGCACAGGTAGACTGGGCCTGTTGCATTGTCCACTCTTCAAGCCCAATGGGCTCTTGTGTGAGGGGGCGTGTTGAGATATACAGTCTCACATTGGTTGTATGTGCAACTAATGTGGAGTTTATAAGGCCTTGGGCACTCCCACCCTTTGAGCTAGCTTTTGGGGTGGTGACCTCAAGGTTCTTAACAGTATGATAGGCTGACAAGTGATCAGAATGTATATGGACATTTCATTAGATGTTGAGTAAAAGGTATGGCACTTTCTTCTGTACTTTTTTTCCATACAAGAAAAATATATTGAGAGAAAAAAAAAAGTAAAAAAAATGGAGGTTCGGGAATCCTCAATAGGCAACAAGAATAACAGAAAAAAAAAATGGAAAGAAAGAGAAAATACATCAGCTTGAAAGGGCAACCCAATCCCTTTTCACATCTGACACTTGAAAAATCCATGAGCAGAAACCCACAAGGAAGCTTGGAAACAAACCCGACCCATAAAATATTTGGAGGAAGATAATAATTGCTAAATTTTCTAGAGTTACTCTGTTACATCCTACTCCAAGGTATGAGACTTGGAGACCCATATTGGTTATATGGGTGACTAATGTGGAGTTCATATAGACTTTGGGCTCTCCTACCTTTTGGGCTAGCTTTTGGGGTGAGGCTATCTCATACTCTCAAAGGAAAATAAGCCAAACTCCAGCAAGAAGAGCATAGTGCCGAAGTGCATTTTTATGCTTTCTACCTCAAAAACTTTATGAGCAGAGAAAAAAACTTTTAAGTTGAACAAAGGATGAGATCCAGAGTAAGGGAAAATGACAGAAAGATAATAAATACAGTTTCCACACCTCTTCTCCTTTGCTTCCAAGTATCAAGGTCTGCAGGTATGAGTCCTTTGCCCATTATTGGTTCTAGGATATCAGCAAGTACTCCCTAGTTTTTTAATTAACAACCAGAAGCAGATATTAGAGAGATTCTGAAAATAATTTTAAAAATGAACTAAAATATGGAAAATAATTCAATGAAATCAACGAATCAATTTGCCAGAAAACCAATGCATCCAGGCTCGTACAATCAAAGGGCATCATATATTATACATTAGGCCACATTTTAATGGATAGCCACTGGTCACAAACTTCATATTTCGCAAAGGTTTACACTCACTTTTGCAGAATTTACTATGGTTACAATAAAAACAACAAAAAAACGATTTACTAAAATGATTTTCCCAATACAGGATATAAAGGATTTACTACAGTTATTTATTTATTTTTTGCATTTTAAAAATGATAATGTATTAGCTTCCACAGTTACAAGGCATCCTCAACCTGCCTGGTTTGGGCCATATAAACTTAGCCTGTAAAGCCGTAATCACGACAAACAGGTTCAGATGCGTAATGTCATTTTCATAAATTTAATGTGGGGTAAGCAGGGGAGGAGTTAATTTTATCATGAAGGTTCTTAGTAGAGGGTAGACAGGGAGTTGGTTGAAGGATAGAGAGCTATAGTTTTGTTGCAGGAAACTACAGTTCAGATATGAGAAGATGGACAGTTTTTTACTGCATTTAAGAGTAAAAGTATACTCTTCACAAATCAAATTCAGTTTCAATCAGCTATCAAGCATCACTTAAAAAACATTTTGATATTTTCCGTTGTATATTTTCTGGTTTGCGTGAAGATAGATTATATGATGGAAAATTTGCTGGGCACTGAACTCCAGTTTCAATCAGCTCATCCTTTTCAGGTTCATTCTTCGTGTGAATAAAGATCAACAGAGGATTAATTCGCTTAACATAAAGTTCATACTTATCTATTAGAGGGATGCAACACATAAAAAACCTCTCAGACGATGGTTTGAACAAAGTATAATAAAAATCAAGCGAGAGCTAAGATTGTACCTTGTCATAAGAAAATGCATTTTCTCGTAGAATATGTCTTGCAACTATAGGATCTGATACAACAACAAACGCTTTTGGCCCAAACGCAAGCTTATACACCGAGCCATGCTGTCACGTTCAACAATATCCTCAGAGGATAATAAAAAGTAGGACTGACTGAGTAAAGTCAAATGAAAGTAAAATAAGATGGAAAGAGTAAAAATGATAATTTTGTATTTAACTATAAGTTAAAATCCCCAACATCAAAAAGTTCATGATTATGAAAATCATAAGTACCTCCAAGAACCAATCATACAGTGAGAAAAAGAGTGGTCGGTCAAACAGATCTGAGACTGCACCTTCAGCTATGGGCATAGACCCTGTACTTTCACCACTTAAGAAGTTCGTAAGGAGGTTGCTTGCGTTGTCAAGTAGATTTCTACTCGATTTAGGCTTATTGTCATTAATGGATTGGCATCTACGTTATTGAAATTCGCAATGTTCAACACAAATATGACATAAACACATGCTCCTTAGTCCTTCCAAGCTAGGAAGGCAAATTAAATAAATTACCAAAAAAAAAAAAAACTCAGCGTAAGAAGATTTGAATATATATGTGTGTGTGTGAATAATTCCAATTTCAAAGGACTACAGTAGCTAGTTTCACAATCATTCATCATTTATACAAATAATAGGAATCCGGAAGAACTTGGAGAAAGTGAAATCAATATAAGACCCTGGGAGAAGAGAACAAAATATAAAATGGTTTATCTGATAACACTATACAAATTAACATAAACAGCAATAACTTAAGAGAAAACCTTTCAATTTCATTACATTTGAAAATTAGGTTAACATGTATCCGCGTATGGCGACAGTTGAATAAAACTAGTATAATCTATGTTTTCGTTTTGCTGGAAAAAAAAAAGAAAAAAGCGAAAGCATGCATGAGCAATTAGGAAACAAACAAACAAATGTTGGCATAAATTGTGAGTGAAGAAAGAGGTTTGGCATAGGATTTTAGGTTAGAGAGAAGGACCTGATAGAAGAAATCCGTTTGGGCTCAGAGTTGCGAATATGAACAGAAAGTGGTAAATGAAAGATGGATGAGCTGAGGCTGACCGATGCAAATTTGGAGTGAAGATTGGGTTCAGTGACGGCTGAGAGGTTTGAGATAGCGGCAATCATAGTGGTTAAGCTGTGAGTGACAGTATGAGTGTTGGTTGCACCAATTTCAAGTTCAAGTTCCGTTTAAAAATATGGTATGGATATCGGTGGAGCTGCACATGTGATAGTGACAGTGAGTGGGAAGTGCCAAACATGAGCATGAGGGGTGATGGTTGTTGCCTTGCCACCTCGACTAAAGAGAACTGCCATTAAATCACTATTTTATCTTTTTAATAATTTTTTATTACTTGGATATGTCTTATACTTTTCTAATTATTATTTTATGCAATTGAGATGAGATGGTCGATTTATTATTTTATTTTTTTTGAAATTATTTATTATCTTTTTTTAAAAAGTAGTAGATCTCACTGCTTTGATTTTATTGCATAAGATAATTAATCTTATATAATATAAGATAATTATTTTCCTTATTAAAAATTAGGTAATCTAATAATAAAGAATGAGTTTAACAATTGAAATTTTCTCTCACCCACACTTACATAATAGTGGATCTAATTAATTTTTTCTTTTTCTTATTTTCATTATGAAATTCACTCATTTTTATGAGTAAGTGTGTGAGAAAAAAAATTTACAATGAAAAAATAGAAATATTTTTCTTATAAAAAATATATTAAAAGGATTTAATATTTCTAGAAAACTTTTTTCTGCCATGAATAGGTTTCATTATATTCTATTAATTTTTTTCTTACTTTTCATTACAATGAAACTCACTCACTTTTATGTGAATGTGAGTGTGCTAAGAAAAATAATTTCTGTAATAAAAATATATGAAAAAGTGTTTGATGTTTTTGCTTGTAGAAAAAAATTTCTGTCATACTCATATAAAAGTGGGTAAATTCTATTAAATTTTTTTTTTTTTACAATAAAATTCACTTATTTTGTTGTGAGTGTATAATTTTTTTTTATAATAATAAAAGCAAAAATATTTTTTGCTATTAAAAATTTAATTATCATGGCTGCAATGTCTTTTACAGGTCGGCCCAACTTGATAAAAGAAATTGTTCCAGCAATTTGCTCTGATTTTGGCCCATTATTTTTTGTGAGCGCAGCTTCAACACAGGCGCCTATTATTTTCATTGGTTCGGCCATGCCCATTTAGGTTAGTCATTATTGACTTGTTTTTTTTCTTAGTTGATTTATTTCTGCTGTATTGAAATAGAGAATAAAAACTTGAATAATTTAAGATTTAGATGAATCACATTCGAGGCAACAATTATGAAAAGTGCTTATATGAGTAGGAAAGGATCCCTCACGTGTTAATTACACTTAAGTTTAATAAAATATAATACGCAGACTACGTAATTATTTCTGATAAATTTAAGAAACTATTTAAATAGAAGAAATGTTCCGTTTACAATTTTTTTTTACAAATTATACTAAATATCACTGTTCATACACACTTTTGATTGAAGTATGACCGGTCTTAATTAGAATCATAATTAATATAATTTGTAAGAGTTTATAAACAAATTTTTTTTAAATATAGTAAATATAAAATTAAATTTAAGCGAAAGTTTTGATAATGAGATATTGACGCGGTTGAAGATGAAGAGCAATTGGTGGAAGTGGAATTGGCCGTTAGGGAGAAAGTTACAATATAATTCCAGTTCCCTTCTATTTCTGCGCCTATCAAAACGTCCGTCATCACGCACGCACGCACGCACGCAAATTGAACTTTTTTTCTTTTCTTTTTTTTTGTTGTGGCTTCCATCGTCGACGAGTGAACAATTCCAATGAAAGATGAAGAATCAACCCTAACATCAATAAAAAATCAAACCCAAATGTCAAGGGAACTATACAATAGCAGCATTTTTGGTCTCTCATTCTCCTTCATATTTTTGCTATGGTTCATCTCCTACTCCAAGCTTCGTCTTGTTCATGGCACTGGAGGTTCGTATTTTTTTCAATTTTTCATTTATATGTCTTTCATGTTAACACAGCAGGAGAGTTCGTGACAAATAATAATAACAATGCCAATTATTCCTCGTATAATGTTTTCTATTAACATTTTTTAGTGGGTATTTTTTTTTTTCTTTTTTCTTTTTCTTGCAATGATCAGAAAAGGAACAAAACAACCATGGAAATTCATATATCACTGATCAAAGCATGTTTTCACAAATGCAGCTGTGTTAGAGTTTAATGAATCAGCAGCAGGTAGCTCCAACAGTTTGGGAGGCCTTACTCAGAAAGTTGCAAAACCCACCACATATTCACTTCCTCAAACAAGTGGCTTACAAGAAGTATTTTGGCAAGTTTTAGGTAATAGGTATTTAGTGTGCAAGCTACAACCTCGACAACAAGAAAACAAACTTGAACCAGCACAACTTCATGATTATAAAGTTCATTCAGCTTATCTCAATTATGATGAATTCCGAAACACAGCAAAGCAAGAAAAAACCACCGGCATGGACTCTGCTCTTGCTAACATAACTCACAGGCTTGAACCTGATGGTTCAGTTTACAACTATGCATCTGAGTCCAAAGGTGCAAAAGTGGTGGCTCATAATAAAGAGGCCAAAGGTGCAAACAATATAATTGGGAAGGATCATGACAAGTACCTGAGAAACCCTTGTTCTGTTGGAGGGAAGTTCGTTGTTATAGAGCTTTCAGAAGAGACTCTTGTTGATTCTGTGAAAATTGCAAACTTCGAGCATTATTCTTCCAACTTCAAGGAATTTGATTTGGCTGGTAGTTTGAGCTATCCAACTGAAGAATGGAGCATGCTGGGAAACTTTAGTGCTGCCAATGTCAAGCATGCACAGATCTTTAAGCTCCCTGAACCCAAATGGGTCAGGTATTTAAATTTGAGCTTGCTTAGTCATTATGGATCTGAGTTTTACTGCACGCTGAGTGTTGTAGAAGTTTATGGGATCAATGCAATAGAGAGGATGCTTAAGGATCTAATAGTTGCTTCTGTGGTATCCGTTCCTGACAAGTTCCCAGCGCTTAATATCAGTGACATGCCTCCTTTGAAATCAGAATCTGTTCAAATTGATGGGAAAGGGAAAGAAGTTGAAAGTAAGAACGATACTGTGGGTGCTAAGATATCAAGCAATGATGAAACTCAAAAGTTAGACGTGGAAGTGACAAAAAATCCAGTGGTTGTCAACTTGATTCCCGATCCTGTAATAGAACTTAGACAACAGCTAAATGGTAGGATAACTGGTGACACTGTTCTGAAGATTTTGATGCAGAAAGTGAGATCAGTGGAGGTGAACTTATCTGCGCTGGAGGGTTACATCAAAGAATTGAACAAGAGGCAAGGGGTTACGATACCTGATCTTGAGAAAGAGTTGTCCAGATTATCAGAAATCCTGGGACAAAGCAAGTCAGAGATCAATGATCTCTGGCAGTGGAACACAAATATGGTACCTTGTGCCTGCCCTTTTCCTCTTTTTCTCTGCTCATCATGTTCCCCTCTCAATTTCCCCTATGTATTCACAGTCTTTGGTCTCTTTCCTTTTACAGCAAAAAGGAATATCTGAAGTTGAGACGTGGAAAGATGCTGTCTCATCTCAACTTAATGAATTAGCCAGAGAAAATAGCCTGCTAAGGTTAGGATTATGTGAACCGTACCATCAATTAATAAATCTTTCTGATAACTCTAGATTAAAAGCTATATCTCCCGATAATAGTTTGGAAGATTCTTATATTTGTCTTCTACCAAAAAGCCATTTCTATTCCTGCTTGCTCATTATGTTGACGCTAACTTAGCAGGGTTAGCTACCCCTTATTTTACAGCTTTTTGCTACCTTTGATATCTAAAAGATTGCTTTTTCGTTACCATTGCTTCAGTGATAACTGATATCTCTTTCTTTTTCATATATATTTTTTCCCTGGTCTGATGCCTGACATGTCATTCATATACTTTCGTTTCAGATTAGATGTTCGAAAGGTTGCAAGTGATCAAGAAAATCTGGAAACCAAAGAGCTTGCCATGTTAGCAACGAGTCTCGTTTTTGTGTGCCTTGCAGCTCTCAGGATGATTTCAGTACACATGTTTGCGAGTTCTGCAGCACACGATGCCGATAAGGTGCGCCGGACAAGCAGAGGATGGGTGTTTTTATTTGTATGCTGCAGTGTAACAATATTCATTATCCTGTTCTATAGCTAGTAGGTATTAACTTAGTTCATTGTAATCATAGCTAGTTAGCTACAGTGGAACTTCAACTAGGTAGTAAATTGCTGATGTTCTACTGTTTGTTTAGTGCCTATTTGGTCACTGCTTGCTGATAAAGATGAAAAGATTTTATGCACGGGAAGTCTTTGGATCGGGCTGTTTTATGGGAAATAATTTCTATGGTGTCATTATTAATAGTTGTCCAAATAAAAGAGAAAACCAATGTACAACATTATATCTATATATGTAATTCTTTTCAGCGGTAGATGCAGAAAAACTTACTACCTATTAAGTAGAGCCATCGAGTACCAACTACTTATGTGCAAAATGTGGAACAACAACTAACATCACAATATCATTTTGCCTTATGAGTTACCATGTCCTCCAAGTTCATAGGATAGCACATTTTAGTGTGCTGACCATTCCATATATTATCTGCAAGAATGGCATTCACTGCATCAGTTGGATGAAACTGGTCCCACCAGATGTGGTTGGAGGCATTAGTGCATGCCATTTCAGGTGAGAAGCACATGATCCAGCCCTTGTACTTCCCCAATCCACAGCAGGCCTCGTTCGTGACATTAAAGCCTAATCAGGGAACATAAAACAGAGAAAGATGTGTTGTTAAATGCTACTACAGTTCCCTAATAGATTGAGAGGTAAAAAAGAAAAAAAACTAGTACCATAACGTTCATGATTCTTTAAAATATCCATGGAACCTTCAAACACGTCACAGAAGGTGATATTTGCATCAGAGAGCTCCGCAGCAAGCTTGTCAACCATGTACCTCATGAGAAAGTTAAATTCAATGACCATGTCATTTATCTGCTCAACACATTCTCCATTTTCACTATCGTACTGCCACAAGTAGTGAGGGGCACAGCCAATAGGGGCCAGTCCCGTGACCACCACTTTCCTAACATTTAAATTGTACAAGTTCTGTGCCATCAAGGTTAAATACATCAGAAATCAATTGAACCAGTTCAGTTGCTGTATGCAAATTACATGAAAATTTTAAATATGTGACCGTGCTTTATTGGTTTAGAATATGAGTTAGTCGGTGACTAGTAAGATAAAAAATAAATAAATAAAAAGCTAGAGTGAATGAGAAATGAAATATTAGTAACTTTTCACCTTAATTTCTTGTCTCACAGAAGATGCTAAAAACTGGTTGAAGCGCCATGGTAGGTACAAATTATCGACGTCGGATACATTGAGCAAATAGTAATGAATGTAATCGTTTATACCAATAGAAATATAAAAGATAGAGTTAGATACGAGACCGGTCACAGCATCCTCTCCCATAGTTAATATAAACTGCTGAAGGGTGTCTGTAAATTGCTGAATTTGCTGAGTGAAGGAGATATGCTGACCCTGCACTTAATTATCATAATTCTTTTTTTTTTTTAAAAAAAACTTATAACCTGTTTTGAAAATTGACTGAAAAAACAAAAACAAAAAAGTGAAAAGAAAAACACAGAAACACACCAATTCGGAGCCACTGGAGAGAATAATGCCAGCGCCAGCAGAAGCGTAATTCACCCCGTGAATCATATTTTCAACTGCCCCTGTTTGACCTAGATAACTTGGCACAAAAGGAAGCCCAAGACGCAGAGCTGATGATGATGCCAAATTAAACACTGAATTTTAATATGAAATTAAGAAAGATATATAAAAAAAATGTATATCTTGCTTGACAAGAAATCCTCCCACACCCCATAAATTACCAAGATTGGATATTTATGTGTTTGTAATCAAGATTGGATCTTTATTTACCGAGATAATCGACGGGGATCCTTCCGTTGCAGAATCTTCCGGTGGGTTGGTGGGTATCGAAGTCTCGTCCATAAGGAAGGTGGTTGGCACGGGCAAATGTGCCCAGAAAATTGTTGGTTCCAGAATCAACCGAGGAGTCTCCTATGACGAACAAGGCTGGTGCTAAAGGAGATTCTGAAGAAGAAGAAGGTGCAATTGAAGAAGGAGTGTCATTGTAGAGTTGTTGAAGAGGAGATTCGAGAGCTCTTGATTCTAAAAATATGGAAGATAGTACAGTAGATATTATTATTAGGTACACGATCATATTCACACCCATTATCTTGCTCTCGTGTTGTTCCTGCATGTACACTCATATTCCCATGGAGAAAGCCAGAAATATTTCTGAAATCAGTTCTTTTGGCGGGTAATTATTTGCTACTTGACTCTATAATAGTTCTGTTTAATTGAAATGTCTCAAATACCCTTCATATGTCTCCGGGCCACAAAGTAACCCGCTCCAATAATTATCCTGGGCCAGATAACTTCTTCGGCCCATAACCATGTAAGAAACAAAAGACTCTTTTGGATTTAGATCGAAAAGATGGTCATGTGATGTGATCATGTTATTAGATCGCAATTACTTATTGATAATGAGATAAGAAATAAAAAATACATAATTTTTAAATAAATTATTGTGATCAAATAATATGATCACTTTTTTATATGTGATGATTCAAATTCGATTCTTTTTAAGTAAATAATACGGAGGAATATACTCTTCAATTTAAGAATAATACACTTTAAAAGATAAAGCCCCTCATTGTTTAATTAATAAATAATTCTTCCCTGATAAGGAAAAATGAACAGAAAAACAGTTTCTAGTTAACACGTTTGCAACTGCCCCACCGACCCATAACGGTCCCACCAGAAGATACGCTTAGCTATAACAAGCTCGTTTCCACAAAGTCCGTGGGCGGTGCTATTTTTTAACCACAAATTTATAATTATTCAGATTTATTTTTTTCCCCCGGTAGGAATAGGATGATAGATTTACGTCATCCTTGCACAAAAACATAAATCGTAGAAGAAAGTTCATATTCTTTTTACTCAATCTTCATCAAGAAAAAAAAAAAAAAAAAAAAACCTACCTCCATGACCAGTGATTATTCTTGTCAATATAGAGTTTATATTCAATCCACAATTTTTAATAAAAATAAGTACTCCCGAGACAAGTGAATTGACAGAATTATACAACATATAATATAAGTGTGTGGATTTAAAGTTCATGGTATACTTTATTTATTTTTCATATTCATTTTTCTTTTCAAGCCTTCTTATAATCTTCTCTTAAAGACTGAATTGAGTGATGGTCCTCTTTTAAAATAAATATATTTATAAAATAAAAAGAATAATAACAACAACATTTAAACGATGATTGGGATATGGGGGCAGTCGCATACATGGGACCGAGGGGCACATGGATACTGGATGAACGAATATAAATAACTCAAAAGGGGCGTTTAGTACAGGAGAAATTTTTATTTATCTGAGAATCTCAATTTTTAAAAATATGATTTTTACATTCAGTTTACGATAATATTCGAAAATTTAAAATTTAAAAAAATTCAGTTTCCCGGGAATCCGGCCAAATGTCACGTACCAAACGCCCCCAGAGGAAAATAAAATATATCATCTTTTTCCCTTCACTAAACTACATTATTATAGTGTACCCAAAAAAAAAAAAAAAAACTACATTATTAATAACAATGAATGGGACACGTAAGAAATATTATTTTGCTTATTTCGAATGCCCACCGAGATGTTACTTTACAAATTGGAAGTCTATGTTCAGTGAACATGCTCCTGAAGTTCATTAAGCATCCTCCAGATTCCAGAGCAAGGATAATAAAAGTACACACCATAATCAATAATCAAATACAAGCAAAAGCAAATAAAAATGAGTGCTTTGGGAGTGCATGACCCAACGGCATTAAAAGAAATTTATCACATCAAAAGTATTTTAATAGTATAATTAAACGATAAGGTACAAAATAGCCATAATAATTTAGCCATAGTTTTATTTAGTTAATGCACAACGGCACTTGCTAGTTGCTAGTGCATCCTCCGAACACAAGGGCAATTTTGTAGGTGTGATGTCTTGTCTGTCTACTGAGGTGGTGGTTATTGGGTCGTAGTTTGTAACAACATAACAAAAACGCTCCTCGTACTCGTTTTCGTGATATTTAGCATTATTATTGTTACAAATAGCTTTCTTCTAGTTTCATAAAAAAAAAAAAAAAAAAAAAATAGCTTTCTTCTATGAAAAAGATGTTCCCTTCATAGGAGTTTGAGGTCAAAATTTCATAAAAAGCCAACAACGGCTACAATACCGTTCTCTCTCTTTTTATTCTGTGTGTTGGGAAGTAACAAGTTTATTGGAGCAGATAAGATCGGCGAAAAGATCGGCCATAGCTGTAATTAGTTCGATCCAACAGCAACTCATCCTCATCTATTGTAACTCCTTCCATTTAAGCTCTAATCCCTCCCACATTTGCTTTTGATTCTTTCCTATGGTCAGAATCCACTCTCGCTCGCTGACATTCCTTCACGTTCTTTCGAGAGATTGATTGATTGCCCACGACCCCAAAATTGTCACGGTTTTTTTCGTCTCATGTTATATGACATACAGCACTAGCAATCTTTCGTGGGCATATCAAAATTTTCCTAAAAATTCATTCTTTTCTTTCCTTTTTTGTTTTTTTCATTTTTTGAAATTTGTATTTCGGTCTATTTGATCACTTTTATTGAAAGACCTTCTCTTCTTCTTCATTGATGATGGGTTACTTCCGTTAAATTATTATCCCTTGATAACTCAAGTTCTTTACCAAAAGAGGACTTGAGTTCAGAAAAAAAGAAAAAGAATTTTTTTTTTTTTTGAAATTTGAAAGATGTCTGTTGCTGATGTTGCTCTGAGTCCGATTCACAAAGAATCGGTACATTGGCGACACCAGCTTGGACCTTACCCTGGCGAATCAATCCTCATATATCTTAGTGTGGACGGAGCTGTGACACCAATGCGTGTGTTGGAGTCCGATTCCATTGCTTCAGTGAAAATGAGGATTCAGACATGCAAAGGAATTGCAGGGAAGAAGCACAAGCTGATTCATGGTGGCAGAGAGCTTGCACGCAAAGATACACCCATCAGGGAGTACGGTGTTGCTGCCGGGAATGTTCTCCATTTGGTTCTCCGTCTCTCTGATATGATCTCCATCGTTGTCAGGACCATATGTGGGAAGGAATTTGAATATCAGATTGATCGGCATAGAAATGTTGGGCACCTTAAGCAACGCATTAAAAAGAAGGGGAAAGGTTTTGTTGATCTCGAGGATGAAGAGCTTTTCCGAGGTGGTGAAAAACTCGATGACAAGAGAATGTTCCATGACATATGCAAGAGTGATGATGACGTGATCCATTTGATAATTCAAAAATCAGCAAAGGTTAAGTCAACACCAGTTCACAAAGATTTGGAGCTTTCGGTTGTGGCAGCTACTCCAGGTGTAAGAGAGAACCAGAACCAGATTCAGATACCACCTGGTGTAGATTTCTGGTTGGAACCAATTTTTGTGAATCCAAAGATCAACTTTTTTCCTTTCCTTTGGGACATGATCAATTCCACATTCAATGGTATGAAAAAAGGAAATCACCCTATCAGATCTTCTGAGGGCACAGGTGGGACTTATTTCATGCAAGATTCAACAGGTATGGAGTGTGTTTCAGTTTTTAAGCCCATTGATGAGGAACCAATGGCGGTGAATAACCCACGAGGACTACCAGTTTCATCTAATGGGGAAGGTTTAAAAAGAGGGACAAAGGTGGGAGAAGGAGGTGTGAGAGAAGTTGCAGCCTATATATTAGATCATCCAAGGGCTGGCCCACGTTTGGTGTCAGGTGAAGCAATAGGCTTTGCCGGTGTTCCTCCTACTGTTATGGTCCAGTGCTTACACGAAGCATTTAACCACCCAGATGGGTATGCCTGCTCATCAAAGCATTCCAAGATCGGGTCATTGCAGATGTTCATGAATAATGATGGTAACTGTGAGGATATTGGACCAGGGGCTTTTTCTGTGGAGGAGGTGCATAAGATCACCGTGCTCGATATAAGGATGGCCAATGCAGATAGACATGCTGGGAATATATTGTTCAGAAAAGAGGAAGGTGGCCACACTTTGCTCATTCCCATTGATCATGGCTACTGTCTACCACAGAAAGTAAGCATTTCCCATTCTTGTCTTCTTTCTTTTCCTCACAGTTTTATTACCATCTATCTAGTGTTCCTTGTATCTGTGCTGTGTTTTCTGTTTGACATCTATGATACTTAAAAGAGTTACATTGGATGTAAGAAAACCGTGTTTCAAGTAGTTTGTTTTAGACATACTCAAGATTCTTATAAATCATTTTGCATAGATGTTATTTGCTTATCTGATTAGTCCATAAAAAATTGGTGAGGGTGGATGAATTTGTTGCAACATAATTTTTCTATGCAAGCAATGTATGCAGAACAATTGACATGCTGAACTTTATAGGTAAAAGGAATTTGAATATTGGATTGATACATAGAAGTCTTGGAATGCTAAAATTAAGATTCTTTTTATTGTTGAATGTAAGGGCTCAATCATTTATTCTGTCTGCAGTTCGAAGATTGCACATTTGATTGGCTTTACTGGCCCCAAGCATGTCAGCCTTACTCTCCTGATACAGTTGATTATATTAATTCTTTGGATGCTGAAAAAGATATAGAACTTCTGAAATATTATGGGTGGGACATTCCACTTGAATGTGCCCGAACACTCCGCATCTCCACAATGTTATTGAAGAAAGGGGTTGAGAGAGGTCTCACTCCCTATGCAGTTGGAAGAATTATGTGTAGAGAAAATTTAAACAAGGAATCTGTAATTGAGGAGATTATTTGCGAAGCACAGGAATCATTGTTACCTGGCATGGAGGAATCTACGTTTCTTGAATCTGTCTACCAGATCATGGATTCTCGCCTTGATAAGCTTTCAAATTAGGCTTTTGTCTGATTCATAGGTATATTGAGTGAATGACCAGTCCATATTTAGATGGACTGCTGGTTGCAAAAAAAAAAATGGTGTTGATGGCTAGAGGCGTTGTGGACATAAATATAGGAGGTTCAAAGCTCTTGCTTATCTCTCACTCAATGACTTCCATGAGCTGTTTTCCAGGATTGTATTGCCATGATGAACATAAGTTAAAGGTCTAAATAAGATGTATTCTACTGAGATTTTATGTATCTTAGGATTGTATGAGGGTTGACACAGGAGTTGGATATGTCCTGTGTACATAAAAATGTAATATGTTAGATGGTCATGAAAAGGATATTTTACTCCTTACCCCGCATCCTATAGTAAAGCAGGTCAGGTGTAGACACTATCTTGAAATATTAATTTTTATTATTATTATTTATGGGGAAGGATATTGTGACAATCAAGTTGTGTTACTACCAAATGACTACCATCTTACCGTTAGATCGATTATATTGATCCAACGGTTATATTTATTTTCATCTTTGTATGGTCATGATTTCCCAAATTTAATACTTTATATTTATTTTCACTTTTGTATGGTCATGATTCTCCATATTTAAAATGAAAGCATTAAATATGGGAAATCATAACCATACAAAGATGGAAATAAATATAACCGTTGGATCAACATAATCGATCTAACGGTGAAATTGATTGGTAGTCATAACACAACTTGGTTGTCAGAATATCCTTCTCCATTATTTACATGTAGTGGGAAAAAAAAAGGTTGAATTCCGTGACAATTACATGAAAGTACTAAATTTTTTTATGTAAAATTACATCTGAATCACAATCCAGGTTTATATATGTGAAATTTTCTGAATACATGTAAAGATAAAAACATTGTATATTCTTCAATAAGATATTGTGCCAAATTTTCTGAATCACAAATTGTATTTCTCTTTATGTCTGCTGCTATGGTTTAACCATGATCCAATCATCCTTAAAACTACTTGCTGATTGCTCATTTGTTGCCTTTGTTGGGAATAAGATATTGTGCCAACTTTTTTTTCCCATGTCTACTTGTCTATTTATCGGGACTTTGACCAAAGTAACCCATTTTGAATAAAAAATTGTCAATATGCCACGCTCCATTTTGATTTTTCCAAAATGCCACGCTCAATCCCGCTACAAGTCCAAGCTAGATTAAAAGATGACACGTGGCGTTTAACCCATGGAGACCCATTCTCGCTATTCTGACAAGCTGGAATCGTTTGTCAATCAACCAGTCTGCACACTCTGAAAAGCAAGACACGTGTCACCGTCGTAGCATTCGCGCTGGACCGTATAGCTGTATTAGTTGTACGTTCAGTAAAGCAGGCCACGTGTCAGCAGAGCACCATTCACGCTGAGCAACTAGGCTAGATTTGGTGTACCTTCAGACACGTGTCAGCACCCCCTGAATCGCGCTGGTCTGCTTAGCTGGTTTGGTCGTACTTTCCATACACGTGGCATCACCCCCTTATTCTAGCTGAGCGGCCTACCAGGTTTGGTTCTTCTATAAATAGTAGCAAAACATGAAACATCCAGTAACCAGAAGAAGTAAAAAAGGGTGCGCCAAAATTGCGAAGGTTAGGATTCAGTAATTTTATGTTATTTTATGTTATTATTTATTTTATGAAACATCTCCTGATTTTATAATTAATTATTCTCTTGTAATTTTATGTCATTAGTTAGAAAATGAGTGACGGTAATGATTCAGTAATTGCTTTGTTATATTACAATGGGAGAAAATATTTGGGTCCAAATGGCCAAGTTTTCGAAGGAGAAACGAAAATATTTCGTATGAGCTCGCGGTGTAGTTTTAATGAACTAAAAAAGACAATATATCAGAAGCTCAGATTACAACGAGGCCAAGTTTTATCTCGGTTGACTGCTAGATGTGCCTCTGGACCTGAAAGTTGGGTTCCTGTAGAGATCGTTGAGGATGAAGATGTAGCTTTAGTGGTAGATGCATTTCGGAATCATTCACACTCCACATTTATTGAACTATACGCGGAAGTAGACTCCGGTGGACAGTGTAGCAGTCAACATTTTGTCCCTTCCACTAACTCTATCGACATTAATATTGAGCCGGTTATGAGCCCGCAATATTCTCTCCCTTCAATTAACGTTATTGACATTAACATGGAGCCAGTTGTGAGTCCTGAAGACAGAAATGTGTCACCCGAACCACCCCTTCCCGAACCAATGTGTGCTGAATATGACGTTGCTCACGATATGTATGATTCGGCATGGCGAACTGACAGTTCCAACGAAGAGGTGGACGAAGGGTTAGTCCCGGGCAGTGACTCTTCGGACACCGACGTGGATGGAGATTTTGATTCATGTCCGTCCACTGCTGTGTGTTATGCGGTTCCTTCTCCGGGCATTGTTGGAACGCACGAGCCCAGAGTGGCAGGTTAGTAAATATAAAAAAAAATTGTGCTTATACATACTTCATGTTGATTTGTATACATTATTAATGCACTGCTGATACAGGTGAAGGACAGACACCATTTTGGGCTCAAATAAGTCATTATAGGCGTATTAACTGGGCTCACCCAGATCAGGTAATTTTTTATTAACAAATGCTACTATTGAAAAAAATTAAATTTAAATACAAAATGTAATTACTAATTACGATAATTAAAAATCTCTAAATAATATTCAACTAAATATTAATATTAACATTAACAATGTCTTTGATCCTATAATTTCTTTATTAATAAATCTTAATAATCACAACAATATAAAATTATTACTATCGTAATTACTAATTAAAAAAATTTACTATCCTAAAATTAACTAATCACAACAATAAAAAATAATTACATTTTTATCCTATAATTTTTTATTAACAAATGCTACTATTGAAAAAAAATTAAAGTTAAATACAAAATGTAATTACTAATTACGCAACTAAATATTAATATTAACATTAACATTAACAATGTCTTTGATCCTATAATGTCTTTATTAATAAATCCTAATAATCACAACAATATGAAATTATTACTATCCTAATTACTAATTAAAATAATTTACTATCCTACAAATAAACTAATCACAACAATAAAAAATAATTACATTTTTTTCCTATAATTTTTTATTAACAAATGCTACTATTGAAAATAAACTAAATTTCAATACAAAATCTAATTACTAATTACGATAATTATAAATCCCTAAATAATATTTAACTAAATATTAATATTAACATTAACAATGTCTTTGATCCTATAATTTCTTTATTAATAAATCCTAATAATTACAACAATATTAAATTATTACTATCCTAATTATTAATTAAAAAAATTAACTAACCTAAAATTTACTGATTCTCCTAATTTATATAATAAAAAAATAATTATATATTTATCCTATACTTTTTTATTAACAAATGTTATACTAACAACAATATCAAAATTAAATACTAAAACTAATTTACTAATTCTAATATTTAACTACAACACAAAATTAACTTATAACTACTACAATACACATGCTGATAATTAAAAGAAAAAAAAAATTTAAATATACACTAACCTTGAACAGGTCCGCCGCGGAGAGAGACAACTACTTTTGAGAGAAGAAAAGTTGGAAAGAAGAAAAGATGAAAGTGATGGGGGTGGGGTTGGGAGTGGGATTATATAGACTGTTTCCCGCTTTACTGACAAGCGTGAATAAGGAGAAGCTGCCACGCGTCCAACATGCGTCAGGAAGTCGTACGATGTGTACCATTCTAGCTTCTCTGACCAGCGCGAATGGGGAGAACATGACACGTGGAGAACTTTTCAGTGTCTGATTGACAAGCCATTCTTGCTTGTCAGATAAGCGAGAATGGGGCTCAATGGTTGACCGCCACGTGTCGTCTTGGAATCTCGCTTGGTGATGTAGCGGGATTGCGACGTGGCATTTTGGAAAATTCGAAATGAACCGTGGCATACTGATAAAATATTATTCAGAGTGGGTTATTTTGGTCAAAGTCCCCTATTTATCTCCATTATATTAGAATCTCAACTAATCTTTACACTTTCTCTCTCATCTTGAGATTTTATTTAATGGTATTGAAAAGAAATAAATAAAATAGAAATGGAAAAATAATAAGCATAATATCCTGTTGTGACATAATTATGCTTTTAGCTTCCCAAACAAATTTTTAAAAAATAATAAGGGTGTGCATGACAACATTCTATTCTCTGGCACTGTTTTTTAAAAGAAACAATTCTTTTTTATTTGTACCTTGAAATAGTTTCTGAGAAAAAAAATATGATTGATAACATATTCTATTTTTATTCCGAAAATGAGAATTACATTTGATAACACAACAAATAATATAATAAAAATAATTCCTATTAAACATAAAAAACTTTTGAATCGTCACTTTCCTTTCCATATGGTGTTGTGGTGGTGGTGGTGGCGGCGGCGTAGAAGTGGTGGCGATGGCGATGGCGTGGTGATGATAGTGGTAGTGATAGTGGTAGTGACAGCAATGGCTCCAACGGTGGTGGAGGTGGTGATGATAGCATGGTGGTGACAACAATGGCTGCGACGATAGCGGTGGTGGTTGGTGATGGTGGTGGTAGTGGTGGCGATGGCATGGTGGTGGTTACGGAAGTGACTATGGCGATGGCGATGACATGCTGGTGGTGGTTACGGAAGTGACTGCGGCAATAGTAATGGTGACATCTTGAAGGTGGTAGTGGCGGCAATGTGGTGGTGGTGGCATTGGGTGGTGATGGCGATGATGGTGATGGTGATGGTGATGGTGATGGTGGCATGGTGGTAGTGATGGTTGGTGGCATCATGGTGGTGGTGGTGACAATGACACTGGTAATATGACAACGGCAGCGACGATGTTAACAGTGGTCTTGTCAGGATAATGGTGGTGGTGGTAATGATGGTAGTGGTGGAGAGTGATCGAGAGAGAGATGTATTTTTCATTTTGTGACCAGGAACAAAAAAATAGAAATTTTTTATTCTTTTTTTATTTGTTTCCCAGCACAAAAATTAAACCGATTCATTTCGGAAATAAAAAAAATCATTTTTACCAAACAAATTTTCTATTCATTTCTGTTCCCGCAAACAGAAATTAAAAAAAAAAAAAAAAAACTAATTCCATTAAGGTTCTCATGTACATCATAAGCTAATATCCTTTGTGTGATATTTATGCTTTTAGCTTCCCAAACAAATATTTTGTTGTCCTGCGGTCATTTTGGCTTTGAAAACTAATTTTAATTTACGTTTATTTTAGAAAATTTTCTAGATTAGAAAAAAAATACAAAACCAAGACTCAAAAAAATTAAGATTTTTATTTAAAAAAAAGAAAAGAATTGTCTGGTCAATTTGTCTGGAAACCAAATATATCAATCACGCAAAAAAGATCTGAATTGACTAAGCCAAGTAATTAAACAATGATAATTCAGATTCATTCTTTTTACCTCAGTTGTTATTTGTTAGATCCGTGTCTCGTAAAGCCGCGATGGTGTTTGATCTTTAGTTGCAACGATGGGTCAATCTCAATAAACGGGATTTTGACCATATTGTCACTTTTTAGGCAAAAAATTACTATATTGTCATGTCAGGAAAAAAAATTTGCCAAAATGTCACGTCAGAATCTCGCTGGTCTAGCAAGCGGGAATGGTCTGGACACGTGTCAGCGTCTGAATGGTCAACCATTCTCGCTGGGCTGACCAGCTAGAATGACAGAATGCTGACACGTGGCAAAAGTACAAGCATTATCTGGATGTCTGTACTTTTGCCACGTGTCCAGACCATTCCCACTTGTCAAACCAACGAGATTTTGACATGGCATTTTGGCAAAAAAAAATTCTGACATGACAATCCGGTAATTTTTTATTAAAAAAGTGGCAACATGATCAATGTCCCTCAATAAACCTCTTCCCACTGCAAAACAAAACAAAACAAAATTAAAGGAAAGAAAAGAAAAGAAAAGAAAGACTCTCATAAAGTGAAAGACCACTATGAGAGTCCATGTAGTGGGTAGCGCCATAATTAAAGAAAAGGAAAGCCTTCACTGCAAGACAAAAATAAAAAAAAGCACAGGTAAATAGAATTGGATCGAAGGCAAGAAAACAAACAAAAGGACTTCAAATTTCTCACTTTTCTTTACACACTCAATGCCAGTACCACATCCTTTCATCATATATTACACGCCTCAAAATCACATCATGGTCCCAACATAAACGTAGATTGTTGTTAAGATAGTTAAAAGCTCAGATCCTCTCTCTCTTGCTCTCTCTCTCTCTCTCCACGAAGATATGGCGAAGCCTGAGAGGCCTCCGTCGGGTCGCACCAACTTGGCCTCGTGTGTCGTTGCCACCATTTTCTTGATCTTCCTTCTCATGGTTATCTCAATCGTTTACTTCACAGTGTTCAAGCCTCAAGACCCCAAGATCGCCGTCAGCACCATCCAACTCCCTTCCTTCTCCGTCGCTAACGGAACCGTCAGTTTCACGTTCTCCCAGCACGCCTCCGTCCGGAACCCTAACAGAGCCTCGTTCTCCCATTACGATAGCTCCCTCCAGCTTATCTATTACGGGAAACAGGTTGGGTTCTTGTTTATCCCCGCCGGCGAGATCGACGCCGGCAGAACTCAAAACATGGCCGCCACTTTTAATGTTCAGTCTTTCCCGTTGGGCTTAGGGTTAGGGCCCACTAACTTTGCCGATGGGGTTAATAGAGTGGGGCCCTCAATGGAGATCGAGTCGAGGATATCGATGGCGGGGCGGGTGAGGGTTCTGCACCTCTTCAGTCATCACGTGGTGGCCAAAGCCAGATGCAGGGTCGCCGTCGCCGTCACCGACGGATCCGTCTTAGGTTTTCATTGCTAATTCTTTCTTCTTCCTTTCTCTTTCTAATCTTTTTTTTTTTTGCAACTGTAAACGTTGTTGTCATACAAAGTTAACTCCTAAACTCTTCCTCTAAATATCCGAGTAGTAGCTAAAATTCATTATCTATTTACCAACAAAAAAAAAAATCATTATCTAAGTGCTCAGTAGCAATAACAATTTAAATATAATATTAATGTCTCATTATATTAATATTTTAGAAAAATTTATTGTAAATTAAACTTCCAAATTTATAAAGTAATTATTCAATTTATCCGTTTGCATATATTCTTTATAAAATAAATGTAGTAACATTTTAAATGTACTTGGGGTTAATTTAATAATACTTTTTAAAAAAAAATTAATATGATGATGACAACGTTATATTATTCTTTAAAATACATATTTGGGGATTTACTGTAATATTTAATGTTTCTGTCTGCTTCAGCAGCAATTGTTAATTTGGTTTTATGAACTGTATTGCATAATGTAAGCCACGAGCAAATGTTGGTCCCTGTCCCTGACGTAGCGCGCACCTTACAACCGAGTGTATTATAGCGGTGGCTGGCTTTGTTGTAATGCTGTAGTGGAAGCATATGGCATTTTTCTTTGCGTGTCTTTGAATGGAAAAGATAGGAAGATAAGTGATGGGAAGGAATTTTTGTTGAGTAAATGAGAGTTCTTTAAAATGAAAGAGAAAAACATGAGATGCTATCACACAATCTTCTAAAATTCTTTCTTTATTTGAATATTTCTATTATAATTATATATGATGTTTAAGATTTGACATAGGAAGAAAGAGAAATGTTAATTTAAATTTTCGAAATTTGTTTTACACAATTTCGTATAAGAAATCATAAGTTGATTTTTTTTTTTTATAACAATGATAAGTTGATTTTTTTTTTTATAACAATGATAAGTTGATTTTTTTTTTGTTGGTAAACTGATAAGTTGATTTTAATAAAGAGAAAAAATAAAAAAAAATGTGATAATTAAAAAATGTTCACTTTAATATATTTTAAAAGTGAGCTGTGAGGTTAAAATGTTTTTATTTTAATTTTTAAATATTTCATGATTTTAATATATTAAAATTTATGTGTTCACTTTAAAAACAAGTTTAGGTGTATTTCTTTCTTTTTTTCAAAATGATTGATGTTATATAATTTATAGATAAAGAATTTCTCCGGTCAATGGGATAAGTTATCTTGTGTGAGTACAAAACGACGTCATCAAAATTAACTTCACATGGAAAACCAGAATCAACATATATAGCTCAATCAATATACATCCAGCAATACATTACAATAACTAGAAGAACTCTTAGTATTTGTAGAACTTGGATTCCAGGCGTAAGTTGGGTTTCCACCACTGGTGAATCCCATGAGCTTCTCTGAAATCCCGCGAAGGAGTAAAATTAACTGTGAGAGAAGCTGAAGGAATGAGGTGCATGGGTTCAGATTCCTTCCCGAACGCACTCATAAGTAGACACACAAGAGAGTTTTGAGTTGCTAACTTTTCAATGCTTCCTCCACCAATCTCCTCCATTTTTCTTCTGTGTTCAAAGTAACCAATATACTCAGAGCAGATAGGGTCAGATGGATTCACAAATAAGCATGGAACCCAAGCAGAGAAAGCAGCAAATGAATCTAATGACAAACTCTTGTGCTGCTGCTTACCCTTCATAGCAATAGCAAGTCCAGCTGTTATCACACTGCCAGCAATTCGAAGCCCATGTTTCAATTTCTTATCCTTAATTCTCTCAATTGGAACAGATACATATGGAGGGTTGAAAAGAAAAGACTCAATAAATATGCCAGTCTTGGCCATTGTTTTCCCACTAAGCAATGCCATTGCTGATCCTAGAGAGTGTCCAGCCAACCATATATTAGAACAATCCACAGTAGCCACCATGTTTCTAACAGCTTGGATAGCTATCTCATAGCGTGAAGATTGATGAAGCTCATTTCGGACAAAGTGGATATCCAACTCAATATCACGTGAAACTGAGTCTGCATTGGTTATAGTTCCTCGAAAGGCAATTACATATCGTGGACTTCTATGTAATGTGTCATTGTACAAACATGATGGAGGCTTGAACTCATAGATTGCACCAAAGATGGAAGAATCAACATCATCAATAAGTATACGAAGCAATTGAAAGTGGAAGAACACCCACCAAGGCTGTGCTAGAGCATTGGGACCTTTACGTCGTTCTTGCCGATCCTTTTCTAGAACGTAAACACCTTTGACTAAACTAGCAGCAACTGACTTTCTATGATACACATTATCCCTTAATAAGATGGAATTTTATTTTGTATTAGCAAAATCTCAATAGCCATGATACCTCAGATGCAACTTTTAGGATTCAAAATATTCTTAATCAAGTCAACTTGGATTGCAATGTGGAAGCTTTATGTCCAAAAAGAAATAACCTAACTGTTTTATCTTTTATGTCTTCTATAAACGGAAATACTCTGTAAACTATCCAAAGAAGATATATAATTACACATGATGTGAACACATGTGAGACACATGATGTTAAAGAATCACTAGAATACAAATACACAACATATATATAATGAAGAAATGATGTTATCCAAGTACAAAAACACAACAACAACAACAACAAAAAATTAAAGTGGAAGATTTGTTTGATAGATCTTACCAGTCGACATAAGTTAAATGTAAAGGTCCAGAGAGGTAAAAAATGTCCCTCTTCATTGCCATTACACCTTATACTTCCTCACATGCCTTCATTTATAGTATCTTCACAGATTGTCAGGGGTCAAAAAGGGAAAGATAATGGATCATTATTCTGCCAATAGTCAATTAAATCTCCCACTCCCACTTAAATGATCAACGATTTCATGTGAAGAAAAAAAAAATGATTATGATGATTTCAATTATTAACAAATAACACATGTCAACAACTGAAAAACCATTGCCCTGAATTACCCACAACCCAATCTATGGAATGTACAACTTCTGAGAGAAACGAAGAAGATTAAGAAAAAAAACCAATGAGACCTTATTAATTGACTACAAAATTCGTAAACCAATGCTGTCTAACTCCACCAAGGAAAATAATTTTCTAATATAAAAAAAGTTGTTAATAATCCAGCACACAGAGAAAACTTCTGACACTCAAACCTTACTCTTGGCGAGCAAAATAACTAGTCATGCTCAAAGAATGAGATCTAGTAAGGATCATAAATGGCCTTTTATGCTCAGAAATTTTCAGCATCTTGTAGACAAATAGCAAGGTGTATCCAACGTTCGATATTCTACAAATCAATTAAACGAAAAATTATATTTGCAAAATTAAGATTCACATTACATTTGCAAAAGGGTAAGAAAAATATAAATTGCAGGATGAAAGATAGAATGTATGAATAAAAATGAGAGAAAAATATGTGAACCTTAAAGAAGTGAAAATCAGAGAAGAGATCCCCAAACAAGAGAATGACAATGCAAATGGACATTGTCAGGGATCCTGACCTTAAAATCGAAGAGAGTAATTAGTATTTGGTAGTTGGTGGAGGTTGAAGAAAACGCCACTGTTTATGATTCAGCGCATGTACTGGGGTTGCTTTCAGATGTGAACCGTAAACCAATCAATGCAACGTAATTAATTAAATTATATAGATGACCAAATATTCTTTATATTATATTATTGTAATTAACCATAATCAATAATATTAAATAATTAAATATTCACATTAATCATCTTAATATTATATGTATAGATAATATGAATTAATACATGTAATGAGAGAATAATAAATAATAATTCATCGTGTGAATATATATTATAAAATTATTATTATTTCAATTTGCAAAGTATTACATATCTATGTAGGTGGTGGTAATGGGTTCAATTCCCATCTTATGTAATTTTTTGTTTCTTTAATTGTCAACAAAGGTCCAATAACAAAAATTTTAAAATGTAGAGGCCCAATCCAATGGAAAACAATAATTCACTGAATTTACAAATATTTAAAATGCTAACACATAACTTACTATGAAACCAGATCGAAAACAAACAGTAACGCCAACGAACTCTGAACATTACAGGATCATCTTCAACCTTTAGTCAGGTCGGGTCGCTCCAATCCGATTTCAACGCAGTATAAAAACACAATAGGCTTTACTGGTGTTCCTCTTACTGTTATGGTCCGGTGCTTACACGAAGCATTTAACCACCTAGATGGGTATGTTTGCTCGTCAAAGCTTTACAAGATTGGGTCATTGCGGGAAGAGCTAAATGAACCTTAACAATAAAATCTCGCATGGGTCAAAAGAGAGAGAGGAGTTTAATATTTATGTTGTTATAAGAAATAAAATTATTTTTGTAATTCAGAAATAATATTATTTTGAGATTTATAGAAAAAAAATACATGATGTTCTGAGAAAATTCATATTACAAGAGAAACAAATTCTCCTGTACTGAAAATGAAAATGCTATATATATTAATTCATTTTTTTTAATACAAATATTAATTCATTTTAACATAAACGAATTTTTGAACACTTATAATATCAGCTTTGGACCCAAAATTAATTTCATCTTTTAAAATTCTAAAGTCAATAATAAAGATTCAAAACTAGCCCAAAATGTCACTAGAGAGACTTGTTCCCGTTAAGATAGGAGTTTAATATTTTTCTTATTACAAGAGATAAAATTATTTCACAATTCAAAAATGATTTGTTTTGAAATTTAGAGAAAAGAAAATACATATTATTCTGAGAAAATTCATATTACAAGAGAGAAACAAAATTATCATAATGCCACATTTTTCCCCCCCTTAAAATGATGTCATTTTAGATTGGAGGAAATTTCTATTTCCAATTAAGGAGAAACACAGAATAGAGTTAAGTCTAATACATATTAATATTTTATGGAGGAGAATATAATTTTTCAAAATAAAAAGAAAGGCATCAGATCTATAACAAAACATTGAAATTCACCCAAAATTATATATAAACTACAATTACTATTGGAACTAGTGGAAAATTAGGACAGAAATGAAATATCTACAGATAGGGCGTGAATACACTCAAATAATCTCACCCAAAAAATTCATTTTTTTTTTCTTTCACAATCAGACATCTAGTAAAGATGACAATACACGATTTGTATAAAAATGACAATGGGAAACCCGAGAGAGAGAGAGAGAGAGAGAATGAAGAATACACGTGAAATAGTAACACTGCCTCTCTGAACGTGATGGACATACATATCTACTTAGACCAAACAGCTGCATCAATGTCAGCTTGCGCACTTCGGTACAACTCAAGCCTCTTCGAGAGTCCACTACGTCTTTCCATGACTGCAGGATCCTCATTCAGCAACGAGGACAGACGCTTGGGCTACAAAGACGATTTGCCCAGGCTATCAGTGTTAAATTTTTTTGGAAAATACCAAAACTAAATGAAAACCAGCCAAAATATAAAAGTAATGATAATATAATAATAAATGACCAAAAGAATACATCATATAACTAAGAAAAATAGATTTATCTCACCTCAATTTTACCTATCTCAGTGAAAAAGAGATCAAGTAGGCTTCGTTTGGCTTCCCGCACTTGACAGTAGACAATTGACTTGGGAATTGAATGCCGCAGACTTGCACAGACCATACTGACATAAGACAAAACTGTGCTACCTGTTTACAGGGAGAGTGTCAGTAGTTAAATTCATTTCCAACATATTGATGACGAAAAAGCTAAGTTAGATTATAAGAAGGAAGCTTGATTTCTGCCCAAGTTTGAAACTGCATCTAGTAAAACTCACCAATTCGCCTTAGATATGAATCATTATATCTATCAAAAATTGAATGAGTAGGATTGCCACCCTTATCAACATCTTGAGGAAGCTTTCGAAAGAAATCAACCGTCAAATAGCAACACTCCATCTCAACTAGCTGTAGCGTTGCCTTTTTGCTTTCCTCCCTCATTCTTTCTAGTGAATCCATTGCTGCATTCCCAACCTCAACCCGCAGACCAGGATATTGCTTCAATTCCTGTGAGTCAACCGAACCAACACCATTTGATATATTAACTTAGGCTAAACGGATAGGAGGAAGACATCACAGCTCTAAGTATGTAAAAATTAAAACCCCATAAAATTCCAAACTTTCATATTTTAATCATAAATAACTACAACTTCAGGCCCTCAAGCTCCCCATAGAAGCAGCAAGCAATGAAAGCACTGAGAGGCCACAAGTCATTGGCCCCACATTGCATAACTATTTCCTTTATTTAGAAGATTTTTTTTTTTTTTTTTTTTTTTTTATAACAATTTAGAAGATTTTAGGAACTTAGCAATCACAAGACCCAAACAAAATCCTTGTAACAAAAGAAGGCAGGTTCCATGTCACAGAAAAACTAGGACCATATGGTGGAGCCATGAAATTTTACAAGAGAGGGCAAAGGAAGTAGAATTCAGAATTCACACAACTAAAGTAGAATAACATGACGTGGATCAATACGTAGTAAATTTTGAAAAACTCATGAGGAATAATACGGACGAAAGTCAAAAGGCTGAGCTTAATGGGGGCGAACTTGTACTACACCACCTTTCTCTTAAGTCTGAATGATGCCTAAGATAAAGGTTTGTATGAGCTCGAAGGGGGGAAACCCTAGCCCCTCCTTGGCTCCACCATTTATGTCAATCTTCTGATGACAAAATCATACACCAAGAAGTATCAAGCCTATTAAGCTTAAACATAGCAACAAGATTACAAGACATTAATACCAACAGAAACACTCAATTTTAGTATGGTAAAGGACATACCAGAGTCTCATTAATAGCTTTGTGAACCAAGTCCTTTAATAGGGAGTGAACCTGAAAGCGTACAATTCAAAATGACACGTTAACAAATAAGAAAGATGAGATCAGCAAAGATTAAAAGATGCATAAGTAAATAAATCAACAATGACAAAAATACATAATTTGTAAATTCCATCATTTTAAAGGCTTTTGACAAGGTGGAGGTCAAGGCTAAGGTTTTTAATCAGTAAGGAGGCCAAGCCATGAACTTGAATTACAAGAAAAAGGTGTGCACTTAAATCAAGTATTTTACTTCACCAAGTAATTTCTACCACACAAGATCTCACAAAATACTTTTGGGCACAATAAATTTTCATTGAGAGGAGTAACTTATCACAATGAACGAACACTTTCAATTGCTGTTGATTATTATTTTATGGAAACCACTTCTATACAGTGATAGAAAATGCGATCCAATCTATAAAGGGCAAATCCCAATGCACAAGGTTCCCCGACTCAATTGTACAAGGTCTTACCCTTGCAATTGCTATAATTGAAAGGGTAAAACTGCGTACTCAACCTTGCATTTTTCTAAGGAGGCTATTTTCCAGACTTGAACATGTAACCAGAAGGTCACAAAGGAGCAACTCATGATCCAATCTATTAAGTTTCAAAAATATTTCTAACAGGAGACCAGAAACTGAAAGAGGTACACCTAGCTGAAAATATTGAAAAACAATAATAAATAGAACTTAAGCCACTTTCGCTGTATGCCAATTGCAAAAAGAAAATGACTAATTGAATCAGGGCCATTGAATAATGTGCGAACAACAATAATTTTCAATATCCCAGTTCTCCAATTTATACATACTGCATCAACAGCTGCCTCAGCAGGTCCCCTGATAGTAGTTAGAGAAGATTCAATGAGGCGACGGTATCCTTGTTCTGGAGCTATTAGATGAGGTTGATAACCATCAGCTTCTGTAATAAGTTTCCTTATATTTTCCATTGAAAGCTGCTTATCAAACTGCAACCTTTTTAAAGCAGCAGGGAGCTGATTGTCAAAGACATTATAAATTTTATCACCTCCAGACCGCCTACAGGAGATTGACAACTTTTCGTAGTTAGTTTGAGGAAATGAAGTAGGAACAAGGATTATTAAGAAACAAAAGGGATAGGGCACTGAATTATTTAAAAAATAAAAATAAAGACACAAAAAGGCAACACATACACGCCATCAAGATGTTCTTTAAATATTTGATCAAATGAGCGGCATATTTCCATGATTGCATACAACTTTCCCTGCATGTGATTTGCAATCAATCATTAGAAATTCAGATAAAGAAAACTAAGCTAGTATCCACGAAATTGGAGTGTTGTAGCTATACTATCTTCTCATAATCATAGCTATCATAAATGAGCTAACCAGAACCAATGGATGATTTGTTGGAAACTTGAATGGATATTAATTAATCACAGACACAAGGACAGAAGAATGAAAATACAAGGCCTTTTTCAACACTGAACCATATAAATAAAAAGATTTCGGAATTGAGAATTCAAATTGGTTGAGCTATGAAGAGCAAAATTACCCCATCATCTGCTGCAATTGGCTTTCCCAATCGACTCAGTTCGGCTTCAATTTCAGCAATTGTGTTATTAATAAGAGATTGAATGCC